ACAATAACAACAAAATGTTTTTAAAAAACAAAAACATTACCCTAATGTGTCAACAGCTATTGAACAGAATTTTGAATGAAAGAATTTTGAATGAACAGAAATGTACACTTTACTTTTAGAGAAAATGCTGCATTGGTCTTGGCAGCATAATTTATTTCTGAGGAAAACCTGGTCTTGAAAATCCGGAACTGTATAGTTTCTCCTACACAAGTAACACAACAGGATTTTCACCGGAAGTGAACTTCTCTGGCTTATGTTACATATTATCAAATACAGACAAGAGCCAGCCAGGTAGCAGTACCTTGTGGTTCTGGGACAGTGTCCTCCAGGAGGCTGTATATGCTCTAAGTCCGTATCCACTACAGGATGCTGTTTCTCCCATAACTAGAATTCATGGGCCCGGAAATCAAAGGGTGAAGTCAAAGTGGCTCCTTTTACGATTTTTTAGTGACTCACAAAATGCTTGCTTCTTGTTCCTGCCATATTATCATCTGCTGGCTAGAGTTCTTGGTTCCAAAGGAATGGCTCAAACAAGAGCCACAACAGTGAGTACATCAGAGCATAAGTTGGGAACCTACCCAGCCACACTGGGTTCCTAACATCTCTGAAACAGCAGGTAAAAGGGGATTTACCAATCCTGATGATCAGTGGGGAATGGGAAATTGCATTGGAATTCCCCAATGGAGATAAGGAAGAATGCCAGGAATACCAGAGATATGTTAGCCTCTTAGTACTACTTTTTGTGATTAAAATCAATGAAAAATTACAACATTCCAATTCAGGTAGCACTGCTAATGGCTAAGACATTTAGGAATAAAGGTTTGAGTCATTCCACCAGGCAATGAACCACAACCAGTTATGGTGCTGCTGAGGGTAAAGGACATGTGGAATAGGAAGAATGTAGTTGTAAATATCAGCTACAACTGAGTTCCCTATTGTGTTATGATTAGGCTTATATCTGTATGTTAAACAAGTGTTTTTGTTTTCTTTTCCTATTCTTTTACCAATACAAGATGTAGGAATAATAGTTAACTTTCTATCACAGTATTCAAGTTACATGATATCAATGACAAGAATGAGAATCACAAGGACTTAGCATCCTCTCTGAACTGCTGTGCCCAGAATGGTTGATTTCATGTTAGGTGGAAGCATGACTTTATTATTGTCTTTATCTAGAGATTAAGTATGGTTTAAAGAGAAGTGTATGAGTGCCAAGCTGACAAGAGGTGGAGTGTGATGGTCAATTTTACATTAAAAAAAAAAAAAAAA